TGGCAGAGGATACTTTTATTAATATCGTAACGGTTTGTTTTGCTTAAGGTGACTACGCATTCTTAACAGCCTAGCCTTTTTGTTCTTAATCGTTCTTTCATCTATGAACAATTTTCATAGTCCCTTTCCTAACTTTCTCAGTCATTCATGTGGGTTTGACCAATAATTATTAGCTAGGCACCCAGGAAAAAAATCAATCAATGATGAATGCATATGATGACAGCATACCTTGGTGGTCTCTTGAAGATAATGGGGAACAAGTTCTCTCATAACTGGAAGAGAAATATCAGACCGTGAGCTGCATTAATGATCAACGAAATTATAAGTAAAAAGAAAATTTTACTAAACCAAGGCATACACTTCTCCTAGCTTGTTATTACTGAAAGCACAAATAGACTAATCCAGTTGTCCAGATAACTTTGACATTAATGATTTTACTGCATGTTCCAATTCATTTGGTTTGTATACTAGCAGTTTTGCGCCCATTAGCGATTAGTCATAAGGAAATCTAAAAAACAAGCCTTCTTCAGCAAAACATAAAAAAATCTAGTGACCATATGGAAGACTGGTATAATATACATACTGGATATATGTAGACAATGGAAGTGATGCATATCCAATAACTACCTGAAAAAAATATAAGAGATAATTAGTAATTAGGGACCAGTTCATCAAAGAGAAATAAGCACATAACTCTATATAAATCTTACTGGTCTTGGAGCTTCAAGCTTTGTCTGGAGATCAACATGAAAGAAAGTAAATAGCAGATGATGTGATGGCGTCCAGGTGGCAGGAAGAGACACCTTAATTTCATCATGGTAACTAGCAGCTCTAGCTCCAACAGCAACTTGCGTGTGAGCCCACTTCTGGAGTGACACACCGTGCTCTCTTGGATATATTGCCTAGCCAAATCCAAAGTCAGGAACAAATAAAGACTCAAGATAAAGGCCTGATCAGGTCCAGGACTAGTGATGATCAAAATGAATACCTCCAGTGGTTGTTTTCGGACATCTGTATCATCCTTTCTCAATTCTACTCGGATAAAGGGATTCCTCTTCCGACTCAAAGTAACAGCTACAGGATACACATAAAGGCAATGGAAGAGATGTAGAAAAGGCTCGTTTCTTGTCGTAGAGCAGAAATCAAACGCCTGGAACCAGAAGATGGATAACCAGATCAAATTGTGGGTAAATTATAGCAAGGACTAGAACACAGCTTTTAGCTTCCTAACTACAGTTAGCAAAGAGAATGATCCATGTTTTACTTCTATCCTCTTTAAACCGAAGTTTATATGAAGAGAACCCCTAATTTATGGGTTGAGTTAAGAAACAAGGAGTTAGAAAACACAACCAGGATGTAACTAGCTGTCTAGCTCTAGAGCCATGGTCAAAGATTGATTATCAGGCGGAGAAACAGGTAGAAGATAATAAATGGAAGCTAAAGAGAGAACAGCACTTTAACTAGTAGATCAAGGAATGAGTAGAACAAAATGATAAAAGCTGCTATACTTACATAATAACAATTGTCATTCCCACTTGAGCTCGTTAGGTTTTTTGAAACATCTTTTGCGTCCTCCGTATTCCACTTGGAACCACTGCTATGGGGTCCAACGGAACCAGAACTGGGACACTTCATAAGCGTCAGGTCACCTAGGCGGTCCGTCAGATCAAGAGATTCATTTCTGATACTCCCATTCTCAGATAGATCTTCAACGTCTCCATGTCCATTCCTATGTTTCTCAATTTCTAATCTTAGAACTCCTTTAACAGGTTTATGAACCTTCCGTTTAGGATCCTGTAAGAACCAAAGAATAATAGTATATTAGGGCATCCAGTATCCACATGTTTAAGACACTTTATAGGGATTTTAGAAATGGTTCTCCTCCAAATGAAAGCAGCACTATGCAGTCTGATCCCATATGTGAATGTAGGAAGAGACAACTCAGAAATCTTATTTTCTTGCAAGGTATCTAACAAATATACTCAGTCACCAACAACACTTCAAAAAGAAAAAACGAAATGAGGGACTTCACTTCCTCAAAACTCCTGAACTAAGCACCATACCGTGAATGTCAAACGTTACCAGAATTGACTCGTTCATATAGCAAAAAAAAAATCTATTAAAGGCTGCAGTCAATCGATTGTGTATACAAAACAAATTGATTACATACATGTCCAGTTCAGGAAAGACAAACCAAAGGGTACCTATCAAGCAACAGGACGCACTAGGATGAAATTTACGAAATTAAAGTGAAAACTATTTTATCCCATATCTAGTTCAAAGCAATGTAAATACAATCATAAAGAAAATGACAAAACTATGACTTAAACACTGTGTTGGCTGTGAAAGTTAAACATCGTACCTGAATCGACTCTTCAGAGTAGTTCTCCTTAACTTTGTTTAAATTGGATATTTCAACTACGACAGAACTTCCACCTGAAGAACCTTGCTTTCCATCTGATGTGATCTTTGCCATGGGTTCAAAAACACCATCATGGGAACTTGACGCAGTCATACTGGGAGTAAGAGGACTGCTAGGGGAAGCAGATTCACCAGCGTTTGTGGTCATATTATTATCAAAAAGCGGAACAACTGCCCAGGCAAAAGACTCTCGGTAAGGCATAATGCGGGACCAGACCTGCAACTTTTGCTTTTCCCTTTCAGTTAAGTGCACCTGATTCGCATATGACCAAAGAGTGGAGTTACTACAAACCGGATACTTAATAATTATATTATCAAGTCCAGCTATCACCATGACTACTCCAAAATGTATAATCAAAACAGACATTTAGGACAGCTGATATATGCCATTGTAAGTCACACACTATCTTTATGTCCCTATAAAAACTCTTAAGAGCGAGGCCTTGACATCAGCAAGAGACATGAGAGACAGTAAGGGTAATTACAGGTTCTTTACGGGAATAGACAGATGTTGTAACGCCTCCCTCCTCTGTTGCTGTTTTTTCCAACTGAATCAGCAAGCAAACTGATGCTGATGGGGCATCTAGATAAAACACTCCACGAGTTTCAGATGAAGGTTTGGCCTACAAGAAAATGTACAAGGGGGGGCAAGTTCACAAAAACTGATTGAGAAAAAACTCAAACCAACTTTACATAATCATAAGAAGGAAAAGATGAGAAGGGGGGCAGTTAACTCCGTTCAGTGACTTACATCCTGCATATCCGTTGGCGAAATATGGAAATAAAAATCCTCAGAGAGTTTCTCCTTCCTCTCTTGATTGTATAATGAAATCGAGCCATAAAATGGTTCTGCAGGGTTGCAAGAGAAGGACGTACTTTAAGAGGTTGTAATAACTAGAATTACAAGAGATAGAAACAGTATTCTTCCCCAAAACAGTTAGTCAAATTCCTCACCAACTAAGCCAGACTGAAAAGCTAGAGACAAAACTCTGACAGAAATCTTCAACCCACTGTGAAAGGAAGACCAGAATTAAAACAGAACAAGATAGTTACAAGAGAGTATCACATGTACAGCAGGAGTGAGATGCCAAAAAACCTGGAATAGCTAGCAGCAGGAGACTCAGGAGTTCTCTGACCAAAAATCATAGACCTTTCATTTTCCCAGTCAAAAGCCGGTTCATAAGCAGGGAGTGGAGGTTGCCCAAAATGCTGCAAACATAACAAAACAAAATCACACCACTGAAACTAAAAGTAAAAACAAGAAAAAAAGAAACCTTGAGGGATCCAAAATCAGTAAAAGACGTCCCAGAAACGCTAGCTACATCCTCTTCCAATGAAGCACTCCTAGCACTAGCTAGACGATACTCTACACAAAAAGCAAAGCAGGCGAGAGTTAATTTTAACAAAAAGGGTAAAAACAATTAAAAAGGGACATGCAAGTGTTCATTACCAGTCTCGGTATCAGTGTCGGGACCTTCAAAAATCTGAGTCTGGAAAGAATCAGGACGAGTAGTCTCATAGTGACCATACTTATTAACATCCTTAACCCACTCCGTTCCGTAGCACTGAACCAATTGGTTCAAATGCGGCCACTGTTCTAGATTCCCATCAAGCTAAGAAAGAAAAAAAAAAGCAACATTAGGAAGAGATAGAGAGAGAAAGAGAAACACAATTTGAAGCCAATAAACATACCAAAGGTTCGAGCTTTGGGAGAGAAAGAGGCTGCCGAGGAATCTTGCGGAAGCGAAGGTTGTTGTTGTTATCCATCAAAATTAAAACTTTTTCGAGATCTCTGAGAGAGAGAGAGAGAGATGAATAGAATGTCGGTTACGGAATCTGAGCTAGTAGAGAGAGGGGGAAAAGGAAGGACATTTTTGTTGGAGTTGGTGGATAGATCTGAGGGAGGAGTTAGTGAAGTTGAGAGGGAGACATGAGTGGGGGGGGGGGGAGGGATGAATCTTTGTCTTTACGCAGAGGGAAAGAGATCCGTGTGAGTGAGAGAGGAAGCAGTTGAGTTGTGAGAGAAAAAAAAAGATTATAAATTTTATCAAAAGATTGATTTACATATACACACTCCCTCGAACGAACAAGCTGGAGTCCAACCACAGTCCTTTTTTTTTATTATTTTTTAAATAGAGTCAATCATTCCAATGACCGAGAGGAGACGAAACTGTTATCTGTATACTCTTTAATCTACTAGAAGAAAATGCGTATTTATCGTATGCAACAAAAAAGATATCTACTTGTCACAACTTCGAGCTCATGGTTTCAATTTTTGATTCACCTTCTAGCTCAGTTTTGGTGTTTCAGTCTTGTTCATTCTCCCTTATATAGCAAAACAAAAGAAAACACTTGCCAACTAAACGCACAGATTGCTATATGTTTCTAACTTCCTCAACCACAGCTCACCTTTGCTACCATCCATGGCGAAAAATCTCAATTTTTGGACAAAGCCAAAAGCTTTGGTAGAAGTTTTAGTACACAAATAATTTTCTATTTGAGTTTGGTTCAAAGGTTTGTTAATTTGCAAATTGGTTTAAAATAAGAGACGAGTTTTCAGATACAATTAGAGAATTGGAGTGAAAGTTAAGTAAGAAACAAGTTTAAAACATACAATATACCATATGAAATCTCTTTTGCCAAGTATAAAAAATAAAATAAAACAAAGAATCTCAACTTGCACCAAACAAAATCCAAAATCACATCCCTCCTCTGATTGATCATCCAGATGTTGGGTTGTCAGTCACTATAGTGTAAAACACAAAGTTTGGAAACGTCTTTGTTATGTCTCTGCACAACCACAAACACAGGAAAAAATGTGTTAAGACCCGCCTGAAGAAGATAACATAGAGAAAAAGAGAGGCATGGCTTACTTGAGATGTTGAAGGGTCATGTTTTGTAACAGAGAAGGATGACGAAAAACAAGACTCTGCCACTCTTCCTTATCAATCTTCCCGTCCATTTTACTATCAGCTTCTTCAAATGTCTGCACAAATCAATGTCAAAAGAATAACAACGAGAGAAGTCTTAGTCAAATGTCAGAGGAGATCTATTTTTAATGAAGCCTCTACCTTGTCTATGATAGTCTCTATCACGCCATCAGAAAGGTTCATGCCAGATTCAGCTAGAGTCGCCACCATCATTTGCCTCAACTTCATATCAAAAAAGGGGACATCAGAGAAACTAAAAACACAGACATTTCCCTACCTAAGAATATACCTCTTGTCTCTCTATAAACCCTTGGTGCTTCAGATCATACAGCTTGAAAGAAACTGCAGATGCAAAAAAAGATAATATAAAAAAGCTTGACAAGGTTAAGGAAAATACTACATCTCTCTTCTACTACTACTACTAACACTCAAGCTTATCCTCCATTTGAGCCTTGGGGTGAAAAACCGAGATAGCACGTGCAAAGGCTTCAAAATCCAGGATTCCAGTATGTTTGGTATCAAACAAGTCAAACACCTGTCAAAATCTTGAACATTGAGTTCACATCAAGAAAAAAAAAACTAGATGGAGGGAGGAGTTAAAAAGGTTTGTTACCCTATCAGCAAAAAGACTCTTCTTTCTGTTTGTCTTAAACAGTACTAACTGAAACTGTTCCTGCAAAATTTTAAAAAGAATCCTATTGAATATATAGGACGAAGATAGTAACTATGAGGTTTGTGGCAATACCTTGTCGATAAGGCCGGCTTTGCTGATGCTCTTGAACATTTCGTAAAGAGCTTCAATCTCATTCACAGTAACTGCAATAATTGGTTACTTGAGTTGTGAGAATGAATCAAAGGCAGTGTAGGGGAGGAGGAGTATAGAATACATACAGACAGTGCCTTTAGCGAGATCCTTAGGGTTGAGAAGACCTCTGGAATGGTGATGAAGATGATCAGAATCACAACAAGTCAAGAGAAAAATGGAGAAGTTCTTTAATGCATCTAAACACTTCATCATCATCATAATCTCCTCTCCTTCCAACTCACTGTTTCATCCCTACCACAAACACATAAAAAAAAGATGGTTAGCTCCTTTTGATTATATATAGAAACTCTCTAGAGTTAGAAAATGAGAATTCAAGAAACGAACACAAGTTTGTTGATCCAACGCAGAAATGTCTGCTGACATCAAATGAATGGCTTTGACTTTCGAGAGAAGGAATTAATGTTTTTACTCTCTTTCTGGAGTAGTCTTGTTTGCGTGTAAAAAGAAGCTTTCAGATCACGACTTGTTCCCAAGAAAAAGGGTTCAATTTCACCACGATCACGATCTCGAGCTGTAGTTGGCTGGTGAAAGCTGAGAAGGGATCAACAACAAGCTCGTTGACGTATGTATATAAGTCGTCTCTTAGTTAGTCGGTGACAACTTTAAGTTTGACTTTTTCAAACAGAGTATTATAATGAATTTACCAAAACCAATAAGATACCAAACAGTCTTTCTGATTCAGGTCTCATTTCCTGAATCTTTGGAAGCAACATCTCTCAATCTTGCTCTCATCGGCACTGCTACACTTGTCGCTACAGCCACACCGCCTGTTGATATTGTCCACTTTAGACCTTAGATACTGGTTCGCATGGATTTACTTTTGATTTTTTTTTCAAAAGGCCTCGTACTATTAGAGTTATTAAATTTTTCTGACACTCCTTGTATAATTCTCTAATGTTAGACTTTGTTTATTATCTCATGGTTATATTCATTTCACTGGGTAGCTTCCATGGTTGAACCTCACATCCATGAAAAATATACTAACGACGCTCCGATTTTTATTCTTCTTCCGTCTCCTACATAACATTGCGATGACGAAATTGCATTATCATATACAGAGCGAAACTCCAACAGGAAGCACCCTTTGGCCATAGAGATTTCAAATCAACTATAAGAAATAGCCTCTCTACTATTATCCGATTTCACCATCAACAAGCTTCGCCTGCGATGATTCTCCATCGCCAGCACCACGAATCGATGATCTCGAGCTTAAATATGCTAATATAGTAACTATTTTTATAGTTTATAAATTAAATTTTAAATAAGTATGCGCTTAACACAGCACACATTTATGTTTACTAAAAATATTTAAAATTTGAATATTACAAAATAAAATATTTAAACTAGTAGTAATAAAGTTTAATTTATAAAATAAGTTATTTAAACATAAAATAATTAAACATTTAGAGAAATATTTATTTAAATTGGCAAAATAAGTACAAAAAATAGAAATATATTATTTTGATTATACAGTGGGTCGGATTACAATTGATATTTTTGACAGTTACAAGTTTTCCATTAAATAAGCGATGAGTTAAAACAAATTATCTTATTTCAATTATAAAACTAGATCTCGATCCGACGCGGGTGTTCATTTTGTTTTATATATATTAAAAGGGTTTATTTGTGAAATAGACATGAAGAAAATTAGCTTTTGAGAGAGAGATAGGAAAAAGATGGGAGAAAGAGAAAGGGAATTTGGTTAGTTACCTATTTTGGTTTTTTTGTAGCTTTAAGATGCAATTTTCCTATATCGAAATTTTATTTTTATATCGTTATAAACATTAACCATATTTTCATATGAATATATATCAATTTATTATATATTTCTTCTTTTAGATTTGTGTCTGAATATTAGATGAATAAAAATACATTTAATTCAACAAATATGTAAATTATTTGTATTTAACTCATATGTTATTGAATAGTTACAGATTATAGGTAATAAGAATAAATAATTATAGATTTTAGTAACATAATTGTATTATAATGCAATAATTTTAAATTAATTGAATGAAATCACATGATTAATAGAATATACCTAGGGATATAAGGTATAATAATGATAAGATTAGAGGATTTAATGTAACATTTCTTTCTAGGAATAGATCCAAAATTTTAAAAATTACACATGAAGTCAAGTCATGACTTCTGTTTTAATATAATAGATGCTAAAAATAAAATGTGACCAATGTATGATGAGATTACAGGATGGATTAACTTCTTACAATTATAAAAGGGCCAAAAACTAAAATCAATGAAGAAATATTAAATAAATGCTCTTTTTATTTTGTATTTAGTTATATCAAAACATATTAGGTAAGCTATAAAAATCAATTAAATGAGTTTATTATCTCTTAAAACCAAATAATTTCATTTCAAACTTAATTAAAAACGTGTTGTCATCAATTAAACGTGTTTATTACTCAAAAAAAAAGGTCCATAAACCTTAAAAATAATATTTTATTAAATTATAAGGTTGTTAAAATAATTATGAAGTTTGAAAAAGTGGATAAGAATTTAGTATTCTTCTTACGTATGAAAGAATTGATTATGATGAATGTCTATTTGATTCTTAGTGTTATACTATAAGCTAGACAAATACGAAACCATATCTCTTTGCGTATTTATATAAAATATTAGATGATTACAAAGCATGTGATATGTATTGTAGAAGTTGGAGTTGTTGGAGTAGTGGATAGTGGTGCTGGAGAAACAATTACAAATCCCCACGATTAAAAAAAGAGAACCAAGGAATTGCGTTGAAGGAGCAAATGGTTGAAATAGCAGCCGGCTCATGACTTTAATTTAACTTTTCATGCTAATTAATATAATAAAATTAAAAGGCAACATTAAAAGTGAAGTAAATATCAATTGGCAAAAATCATACTAAGAAAGAACGATTTGATGAGGTTCGGAAAAATATTTACAAATTCTGATTTAATTCATTATCTATCCAACCAAAAAAAAATGTTCGAGATTCTGTAAAACAAAATAAATACTAATGCATAATATTCGTAAAAAATGAAATAAATCATAAACACTAATATTTTTTAAAAACCAATATCTGATTTGATCCGGTATATGTATATATATGTATATGCATATATATATTATATTTTACGTAAGTCTTACAATATTTTATTTATTAATTTATTTGTTAGTTATTCCAGTTTTAAGAAGTAAATTACTTTTAATTTTGTAATAAATATTATTCTTCTATATTATTTTTAGATTTTTATTTAATTTTAAATTTTTACTTTATGAGTGTACAATCTAATCAAATATCCAAGTAAAATATAAATTTTTCTGTATATGTGAATACCAAATATCTAGGTAACCACGAATTAATATTCAGAAAAAACTAATCGGATCATCAATATTTCTAAAAATCTTAATATTTGATGTGTGCTTATCTTTGATTAATGGCAGTCTGAATGCTAGAGATGTAAAAAAAAACTCTTTTTATTTTTCAATTATCAAATTTTTACATTTATTTGTGTAATGACAAAAAAAAATATAAAAAAAGAGATAGGAATAAAAAATAGGAGAGTGAGAACAATTTTGTTATTTGGCCTAATTCTTTTTTTTTTTAACACCTTTCGATGATATATTAATAATTAACGAGCAAAAGTAAATGAATCAATAAAAAATGTATGCCAACTGCGTAGGCGTGGTAGCATATCGTTGGTTGAGTCAGGTTTGAGTGTGTGTTATAAAATGCTACGCCACTCTCCAGTAGACTCAGCCACCGTCAGAACTCAGCTCTCCATTCTAATAAAGCCATGGCCGAGAAGGGCAAGGAAAAGGTCTTTTCTTCGTTTCTTTTTTTTTTTTGAACAGAGAAAGTTGTGTGGGTCTTTAGAGTTTACATCTTGGGAGCTTTTGATACTTCTTTTTCTTCTCATTTTTTTTTTTAATTATATTGTGTAGGTTTTCGTATATATGGGATGTGTATGTTTTTGTGCCGATATTCATGAATTAAGTAACTCTTTTTGGAACAAAAAAAAACAGGTAACTATGATGAAGCTGAAGGTGGATCTTGACTGTGCCAAGTGTTACAAGAAAGTCAAGAAGGTTCTTTCCAAGATCCCTCGTGAGTTCCTTCTCTTTTTTTTGTTTTTTAACAAAAATTCTAGTGAATTATATTGTTTGTTTGAAAGTATTGGATTGGTAATGAAATTAACTGAATGGAAAATGGTTATGTGTGATTGTGAACAAGAGAAATCAGAGACCAACTGTTCGATGAAAAGTCCAACATAGTCATCATTAAGGTAGTTTGCTGCAGCCCTGAGAGGCTTATGGACAAACTTTGTTATAAAGGTGGTGGCTCTATCAAGACCATTGAGATCATCGAGCCATCCAAGCCACCACCAGTAGTGTCGAAGCAGCCGCCACCGCCACCACCAGTAGTAGAGCCGCCACCGCCACCACCGGTAGTGCCGAAGCCGCCAGTACAGCCACCACCGGTAGTGCCGAAGCCGCCAATACAGCCACCACCAGTAGTGCCGAAGCCACCCGTACAGCCACCACCAGTAGTGTCGAAGCAGCCCCCACCGCCACCATGGGCGCCCATGATGCCACTAGGGCAGCCCATACCAATGTGTTGTTGGCCATGCTACGACGGTTTTGGAGGTGGACCAGCGTTCTACGGATACGGAATGCTGCTGCCACAACCATACAAGTGCTACGGCCGACCAATCTACGATAGCTGGGGATGTGGCCCACCACCTAGTTACCGACCGTGTCATCTCAGCAGATGCAGTTTCTTTTGTGAAGAAAACCCACAAAGCTGCTCTATCATGTGATATGACTCGTCCTCCTTTCCAATCTTGTTAAATCTTTATTTTCCTTCAAATATTTCTTTTTCCAATGCAAATAATGTATAAAGATGTTTACGTGTAATGTTGTGATAAGAGAAGGAAGAAGGAAGTAAGGATCGTTGTATTTATAAATGGTGGCCATTTCCATTTGGTTGTCCATTTTGAAGCTGTAACTGTAAATATTAGAAACATGTTTCATTTTCTTAGATATAAACCAAGAATAACAGTATTTCCATTTACCAATTAACACAGGCAGAATCTAATGATTTCTCGAGATGAGATAGTTTAATGCCCCCGAGTAGTCTAAGGCTGTCGAAAAGCCCAAAAATGTGGAGAAATACAAAAAAGCCGATAATCCTAAACAACCTTAAAGCCCAAAAAAAAACAGAGGATTTTAAACAGAATGAAAAACCAGAGGATTTGAGAAGCCTAAGCAATCATAAAAGCCAAAAGAGTCTGAAAACCCTTTAACTCCTAAACCCGCCACGACAAATGATCCAGCCCTGAAGCAGCCAAGACCGCCACCATATTGCTGTGTCGATGGTGCTACGGCCGAACAGTTTACGATAGCTAAGGAGGTTAGCTCCTTTTGAATGTCAACACAAACCCTCCATAAATCAGGCATTGAGAAGAGAGAAGTCAAAAAACGAACACAAGTTTGCTGATCCAACGCAGAAATGGCTGCTGACATCAAATGAATGGCTTTGTCATCATACCATTAGTCTTTAATTTACGGATGATCATAATCAAATCTCTAAAAATATGGGAAATACAGTTACCAAATATTCAACAATATTTGAATACCTTGTTCATTTTTACTTACGCTAATAACCGATTTTATAAACTGTTCAATCTTTGTTGTTTAGAACTAGATAGTTATTTCAAGAAAACTAGTTTTCCTAAAAAAGGAATAGGTGTTGAAGAAAAAAAATTCCTAATTTTTATGAAATCATATTTACCAAAATCTTAACTAGGCAAAGTATTTTTTAAATATTCCGTAATTGTTACTGTCTTTCTCAGTCGAGCTTTAAAAAAACAAAAGGTCCATCTGTGTAGTCTTTTTTTCCTTTTTTTTTCCTACCAACTAAATCAGCATGTGACTCGAATCTTCCAGCTATTTCTTTTTTGTTGTTTTCCCCACTTCATATCTTCTTCTTACGTATGAAGAATTCATTATGATGATGATTGTTCTATTTGTTTCTTAGTGTTATACTATTACGCTAGACAAATACAAAACCATGTCTCTTTCCCTGTTTATATTAGATGAATACAAAGCATGTGATGTGGCGTTGTAGAAGTTGGAGTTGTTACATTAGTGTTGCTGGAGAAACAATTACGGAGTTTCTCTATCATTTTTATAAAATAAAAGTCCCTACGAAACAAAAATTAAGAGAGACAAGGAGACAAAGAGTTGCGTTGAAGGAAGAATCATTGAAAAAAAAAAAAAAAAAAAGAATCATTGAAATAGGCTGCCGACTCATGACTTTTATTTTCAACTTTTCTTGTTAAGTAACGTAATAAAACTAGAAATGTCCTGTTCGTTTGGTTGCACTTTCGACGTCAGCGTCAGCGTCGGCGTCGGCGGCAGCGTCAACGTTAATGACAACATTTGTTGTTCGTTTAGCAGACGCTGACGCTGCCGCCGACGCCGACACTGCCGTAAATTGTTATTCATTTATAAGACGCTGCGTCAAAAAGATGCGGATGCGTCACTTTTAGGTTTAGGTTTTGTGTAAATACTCTAGTTTATCAAGGGTAAAACAATAAATTACCTTATTGGCCGCATGTTTTAGATCGTGGACGCTGGTTTTATCGGCGTCAAACGCAAGACGGAGCATTCGGACGCGGCGTCAGACGCAGGTAGGTGCGTCAACCAAACGAACACGATTTTAAAAAAAAAGTTGACGCTGACGCACCTACCTGCGACGACCAAACGAAAAGGCCTAAAGTAACATTAGATGAGAGGTAAATCTCATTTGGGAAAAGAAAATAAGAAAGAAAGATTGATTGGTCAGTGCAATTAATGGAAACTCTGAAAGCTATAGATGTGAAAAGAGTCCTTTATTTCAACGAATACATTATTGTACACTAATTACGAGGAAAAAAAGAAATGATAAAGTTTTTTGATTAAATCAAAAATGGATGCCAACTGCGTACACGTGTAACAATAACATTGGTTGAATCCGGTTTGAGTCTTGTGTTATAAAAAGCTACACTTCTCCACCACCATCCATCTCTCTCTCTCTTGAAGTAGACTCTAAGCCAAAGCCACCGTCCCCATCAGATCTCAGATCTCAGCTCGCCGTTCCAAAGCCATGGCCGAGAAGGGCAAAGAAAAGGTTAGCTTCTCTTCTCTTCTTTTCTTGTATTGTTTCTCGTTCAGTAGACAGAGAAAGTGGTGTGTGGGTCTTTAGAAGTTTCCAACTTATATCTTATGGAAGCTTTTGATACTTCCTTTTCTGCTCATTTCTTGGTTTTTTTCTTTTATTATTACCTTGTGTAGGTGTTTTTGTATATATGGGATGTGTTTGTTTTTTGTGTGGATTAAAAAGAAATACGATCGTATTAAATAAAGTTTTTTTAACTTTATGGAAGTAATAAGAAGAATCTCTTTCTTAACTTTAGTGTGTGTGTCAGAGATCGAATCAGTTCTTCTGTCTCTTCCTCTTTCTTTCCGCAGTAATTAGATCTTTAGAACCTGAGTAGTGATGTCATGTCGGAAAACAGGTAACTATGATGAAGTTGAAGGTGGATCTTGATTGTGCCAAGTGTTACAAGAAGGTCAAGAAGGTTCTTTGCAAGATCCCTCGTGAGTTCCTTCTCTCTTTTTTTTTTCTAAAGATTCTGTTGAATTATATTATTTGTTGATTTGTTTGTTGAGGAAATGGACTAAGTGGATAATAACTTGTCTGATTGGGAACAAGAGAAATCAGAGACCAATTTTTTGATGAAAAGTCAAACATAGTCATCATCAAGGTGGTTTGCTGCAGCCCTGAGAGGATTATGGACAAACTATGTTCCAAAGGTGGTGGCTCTATCAAGACCATCGAGATAGTTGAGCCACCCAAGCCGCCTCAGCCTCAGCCACAGCCACAAGCCCAACCTCCTCCTCAGAAGCCTAAAGATGCTCCTAAACCCGCTGAGAAGCCTAAGGAAGCCGAAAAGCCCAAAGAGGCTGAAAAACCTAAACAAGCTGAAAAGCCCAAAGAAGCAGAGAAGCCCAAGGAAGCTGAGAAGCCCAAAGATGCCGAGAAGCCTAAGCAAGTCGAGAAGCCAAAAGATTCAGAGAAGCCAAAAGACTCAGACAAACAAGCAGCTCCCAAACCCGCACCAGCAGGTCCAGCACCTGCTCCAGCCACGAAGCCGCCAGGACCACCACCACAGGCTGTGCCAGTGATGCCGCAAGGCCCGCCACCACAAGCTTTGCCAGTGATGCCGCAAGGGCAGCCTGTAGCTATGTGTTGTGGGCCATACTACGATGGTTTCGGAGGTGGGCCAGCATTCAATGGATATGGAATGCCGCCTCCGTATGAATGCTATGGGCGACCAGTGTACGATAGCTGGGGAGGTGGACCACCACCTAGCTACAGACCATGCCCACCACCTAGTTACAGCAGATCATGCCCTCTCAACAGATGCGATTACTTCAGCGAAGAGAACCCACAAAGCTGCTCCATCATGTGATACGATATCACCCTTTTCACTCTTTATTCTTCTTCAAATCTTTTTTTTCTAATACAAATAATTAAAAGAATATATATATAGAGATATTTACGTGTAATGTTGGGAAAGGAATAAGGAAGGAAGAATCGTTGTATTTTGTAAGTGGTAGCCATTTCCATTTGGTTGTCCATTTTGAAGCTGTAAACATTAAAGAGAATTGTTTCATTTTCTTAAATATATACGAATAATAGTATTTTCACTTTATCAATAATCTATACTCTGTTTGTGCCATTGCCTTTGATAACACTTTCCTCCCCCCCCAAAAAAAAAGTGTTGGTGGAATAATATGTTACAACTATTTGATGCATCATTTATAAAAGTTCTAACTTTGGCACATAAATTATCAGTCTCAGTTAGTGACGACATTGATTCCTGATTCGCACATCCAACTTTTTATACACGAAGATCCTTTTGAACAGCCTGTGATAATAGACTTTTTTTTTTCTGTTTTACTTTTGTAAAAGATTATAACTTTGTTAATATTAAAAACTGTTTGTTCAGATTTTCTTTTAAAATTTTCTATTTATCTAGTTGTTCTCATCTTCAAACTAAAATTTTGCATATTTCACAAAAAGCTATTTAATTATTTGTTTTGTTCATTTTTTATTTTAAATTTTGACAATTCTAATTTCAATTGGTGTAGCTAGCTACAAATTATTTGCGAAGTGATTTTTCGCAACGGAGCTCTCACAATAAAATTTCGAGTGGTTAATATCGTTTATACCCTTAATGAATAAAATATATAAATCAGCTAAAAATAAAAACGAATTTAATACTTATTTGATTAGTTAAATGATTTGAATTAATAATAATGATAAGAATTATCCATAATCTAAATATATATTTTAAAATAAAATAAAAAGATAGATTTGTTATCCGGAAAATATATTTTTCATAAAATAAATTCAAAAACAGAAAACACATAAATAAATATTCATAAAGTAAAAATTTTAATTGTATATAATTCAAAAGAAAAATTGAAAAAGTAGAATACATAATTATTTTCAAATTAAAATAATATAATAATATAATATAATGATATATATTCGTGAAGTTATTTTTTATCTCTTAACTCAGACGTTAAATTAAATTTATGTTTATATTTTTCAAATTGAAAGATAGATTTCTATATTTTTATCAATTACGAAGAAATGAAATAGACTTCAGATTTTTCAAAATTTTAAAAGAAAACATATATTTGTTTTTAATTTGTGAATAACTCTATCAATGTAAAAAAGTTTAATGTTTTAGGTCAAATTGTTTAGATGTAAATAATCATTTATTTTGATAATTTTTTAAATTAACTTAAATATAATTAAGTTCGCATGTGCGTCCAAAACACCTAATCGATTTAATTTGGTGTAGCTAGCTAGGAATGGGTCAAACTATCAAAGGATCACCTCCAAACACCACCAACGCGTCATCATCTATTGGAAACTTACTCGAAATATGTGATGGATTTAAACCAAAAAACATCACGCAGTTACATTTAAAAACACTACAACAGCACAACATTCTATTTCTTCATCTTCTACAAAGCTGCTTCGACTACTTTGTTGAAGCGATAAGGTCGACGCTTCACCACAGCAAAATAAAAAACAAAAGAGGAGAAAACAAAACTATGTCATTTCATATAACCTCCTCTCCTTCACCCCTTCTCCACGATCCTTACCCTCTCTGCAACCTCCTCCCTCTCCATCCCAAACCCACTCCAAGAACCTTCTCCTTCTCCTCCTACAACCCCAACTCTCCTCCCTTCCACACCAAAAACCTCCTCCAAACAACCCACGTTTCCTTACAAGAACCCCTCCCACACGAAACCCACATCGAAAAACCCAAACTTGACACAAACCCACCACCTCCCACCTCCAAAAGACACCCCTGGATAAACCCTAACAGCCCCAAAGCTTCTCAGCTCCGTAAAAAGTCTTACGACTCGAGGTACTCTTCTCTTATCAAACTAGCCGAGTCCTTAGACACGTGTCCCCCTAACGAAACTGATGTCTCCGATGTAATAACAAACTTTGGTAGTAAACTCTTTGAGCAAGACGCTGTTGTTACTCTCAACAACATGACAAGCCCTGAAACCGTGTCTCTTGTCTTAAACAATCTCCTTGAGACGGTGAAACCCACCAGGGAAAGGGAAGTGATTCTCTACAATGTGACAATGAAAGTTTTAAGAAAGTCCAAGGATCTCGAGAAGTGCGAGAAGGTGTTCGATGAAATGCTTGAGAGAGGGGTGAAACCGGATAACGCGACGTTTAATACGCTTATCAGCTGTGCTAGGAAATGTGGTTTACCTAAACGAGCTGTTGAGTGGTTTGAGAAAATGCCTTCCTTTGGTTGTGACCCTGATAACGTCACTTTGGCGGCTATGATTGATGCTTATGGCCGTGCTGGTAACGTTGAGATGGCTTTGGGGTTGTATGACAGGGCCAGGACTGAGAAATGGCGTGTTGACGCTGTTACTTTTTCGACTTTGATTAGGATATATGGCTATTCTGGAAACTATGATGGGTGTCTTAACATCTATGAAGAGATGAAGTCTCTTGGAGTAAAGCCTAATCTTGTTATTTACAATAGGTTGTTAGATTCTATGGGGAAAGCTAAGAGGCCGTGGCAGGCGACGATGATTCACAAGGATCTTATTAGCAATGGGTTTGAACCGAATTGGAGTACTTATGCTGCTCTTATTAGAGCCTATGGTAGAGCTCGTTATGGTGATGATGCGCTTATTATCTACAGGCAGATGAAAGGGAAAGGAATGGAGTTAACAGTGATTCTTTACAATACTCTCTTGTCCATGTGTGCTGATATTGGCTTTGTGGATGAGGCTTTTGAGATTTTTCAAGATATGAAGAGTAGTGGGACTTGTGAACCTGATAGCTGGACGTTCTCTTCGCTAGTCACTGTGTATTCTTGCTGTGGGAGGGTTTCAGAGGCTGAGGCGGCTCTGCGTGAGATGAGAGAAGCTGGCTTTGAGCCTACTCTTTTTGTTCTTACGTCGCTTATACAGTGTTATGGGAAAGCCAAGCAGGTTGATGATGTTGTTAGGACGTTTGATCAAGTGTTGGAACTTGGTATAGAGCCAGACGACAGATTCTGTGGTTGTCTTCTGAATGTAATGACCCATACACCGAAGGAGGAGATAGGCAAACTCATTGGATGTGTGGAGAAGGCTAAACCAAAGCTTGGTCACGTGGTGAAGATGTTGGTACAGGAGGAGAATTGCGAGAAAGGGGTGTTCAAGAAGGAAGCATCTGAGTTGATTGATTCCATAGGCTCTGATGTAAACAAAGCATATTTGAATTGTTTGATTGATCTCTGTGTCAGTCTCAATAAGTTGGAAAAGGCTTGTGAGATCCTGCAGCTGGGGCTGGAGTATGACATATACTCTGGTCTTCAATCAAAATCTGCTACTCAGTGGTCCTTACATCTGAAAAGTCTCTCTCTTGGTGCGGCCTTAACGGCTCTTCATGTTTGGATGAACGACTTATCAGAGGCCGCTTTGACATCTGGAGAAGAGTTCCCTCCGTTGCTTGGAATCAACACTGGACATGGGAAACATAAGTACTCAGACAAAGGTTTAGCAGCTGTTTTTGAGTCTCACTTAAAGGAGCTAAATGCTCCTTTCCATGAAGCCTCAGATAAGGTTGGGTGGTTTTTGACCACTAGTGTTGCGGCAAAGGCATGGTTGGAGTCTAGACGTTCTGCATAGGTCTCTCAGTCTTTGGTATGTAGCTTTGTTATGTCGATGTGGCTTTGAGTTTTCTGGATCAGGAAATATTTTTGTAATGCTAGCAAATTCAGGGTTTTACACATTTAGAACAATTCTACAGAGGCTGCTTAAGTCTCATTTTCCTTAGTTTATGGTATTTTCTTCATTATCCACCTGTTGACTTTAATGGTGAGGGGTGGCTATTTGACTTGCCTCCTTGAAACGCTATTTTTCATGTGAAACAAGATATGTTTTTCAAGTGCTGGTACAGTAGCTGACCGTAATAAAGAAAAGAGTTAGTGCACATATGATGGTTCGCACGTTGGTGGAAGGCTGAATATATAAGACTGTAAGAGTCAAGGCATAATCACAAATCACATCACTACTACACAACAACATGGGAAACTGGATTCTTACATTGCGCAGCAAGCATGGGAACATAGTGTTGGATGATGCATCAACGGAGAAGATCAAGGAGTCACCTCAAGAGGCAGCTGAGCAGAAAACAGGGAAAAAGCGCTATGTAAAGATCATTCTGACGAGGAAGCAGCTCGAGTTGCTACTGCTAAAAAGTTCTGAAGGCGTTTCTTTTAAACTCCCAGAGACTTATGGTGGTTGCAACCGTAAATGGAAACCATCTTTGCAGACGATAGTAGAGGTAGATAACTTATGACGCGGCTTCATAGTCCTTTTGCTGTACATGAACCTTGCTGTGGATTGAAGCTGAGTAGCAGAAGAGAATTTTGATAACAACTCAGTCTTGCAGTTGGATTCTCCTGTGTAATTCTTGTGTTCAGAAGATTTTTTTTTTTTTTTTTTTTTTTTTTTTTTTT